TGACCAGGAACCCACCCAAGAGGTATGTCTTCTTGCCTTATGGAATGCTGCCTTCTCTCATATTTCAAGTGTACGCTGAGTAGCTCCAGGGCAATTGCTAAGTCTAAGACACTTTGATTTGATTGTATTCCAAAATCATGAGTAAGACAAAGTTAGGGGAGGGACAACTACAGGTCTTTCCTCCACTGACTAGATTCTTCATCAGATATCAATACTTTTATATGAAAGATGTAGCCAAGAGCTTCAGAGAGGCCAGGTATGGTGGCACATACCTTTAATCCCAACTCTTGGGGGCAGGCAGATTTCTGTGAGTTCATAGCCAGCCTGGTCTATCTAGTGAGTTCCAGGTCAGCCAGTGCTACATCGTGAGAGCCTGTCTGGAAAGAAAAACATATGCAGAGGGGCACACACCAGGGATATTCCTGTGGTCTGTGTGGTTCAACTGTTCACAGCTTTCCAGCTGCTTAAAAGGCCTCAATCAAAGCTCCTGGGCCCTTGCTCATATGAATCTACAGCAATGGTATCAGTATACACAAGTCCAGTGCAAACTCAAGGAGACAAAATCCCAGTATAGAGGTGGGAAAATGGACAGCAGACTCCAATCGTAGCTGAAGAAATATTGGCAACTGATTACTGCTAGGTGAGGAATTGCTGATCTTCCTAAAGCGAGGGACTCTAGATAAGCTGACTAGACCTCAGTAGACTTTCACCGAGGAACGTCTGAGGGCACTAACTTGACACAATAGGCTTTAACACAAATGACAGAATGTATGAATTCCAGTAGGGGGGACTATGACAGGGTGCCAGTGGGAAAGGGGGCATAAAGATGGTTAAGAATGATTGAGATACTCTGTATGAAATGCATACAAATTCAATAAAAACAATTTTTTAAAAAGGCCTCAATCAAAAATTAATGATGTGACTGAAAGTAAGGCACAGACAGGTTAAAAATTCAATATATTGCTTAGTCTCTGAGTTCTGTTCCACACACAGAAGTGTCAAACTGAGTCCACAGGAGAGAAATTTAAGAGGGAACATGCAATATCCTTCATAGAATAGAATGTTTATGGAAAGCTTTGGGCATTCAGCATTTGAAATCATCTTCCTACAATGAACTAGAGCTTACTGGGCCCTTATACTTGCACTGCAAAAGACATCACTTATGAACCCAAGTGGGCTGAACCCTCCAGTGGAATGTCCCACAGGCTCTGTTCCTTCTCCTTTGTGATCTGCCTTGTGGCCAAAGAGTCATCCTATTGTAGAGTTTGTAAATATTGCCACCCTTCTCAGTAATGTCCTTTCTCTGCTGCCTGTAATCTGTACATCTCAGCTTTCAAGATTTAGAAACTGGCACGGAGAAGGATTCCTTGAGCAATTCCTTCAAGATTTCCTGTTTCTTTCTGAGTTTTAAGGAGAGTTGAGTGTTGTTCTTACGTCCCATTGAAATCCTGAAGGCTAAGCTTGGGCCCACTCCCCTAGCTTCCCCATGTAGCTGCAAGTGGAGCTTCTAGAATGATGCACAAGGAAACACATGATTTTTGTATGCATATTTTTGCTATACATATTATATTATACAAATTATATTATAATTTTTGTGCATTTCATTCAAAACATCTAATCATCTCTATAATCCCCTCTCCCATCTGCACTCCTCTGTAGTGCCCCCACCAGATTTTATACATTTTGTCATATATGTTAAGGCCTATTGAGTCAAGTTTGAAACACGGTTTTTAAGATTTCTTTTTAAGTGTGTGTGTGTGTGTGTGTGTGTGTGTGTGTGTGTGTGTGTACATGAGAAGAAGAGGGGCCTACAGTGGCCAGAGGAGGCCAGAAGAGGGCTATAGCTCCCTTGGAGCTGAACTGACAGGCTATTGTGAGTAGCCCAACATGGGTGCTGGGAACCCAACTCAGATCCTCTGGAAGAGCACTACATGCTCTTAACCACTGAGACATCTCTACAGCCTCCTAAATAAACATAGGTGTGCGTGTGTGTGTGTGTGCACGTGTGTGTGTGTGTGTTGCTATAGGTTGAACCTAAAGCTTTGTGCACATAAGGCAAGTGCTTTGTCAGTTAGCTACATCCCTAATCCCAGTGGAAATATTCAAGTCCTTGACCCCATTATAGGCTACAGGGGTATCAGTGTGAGGATTCATTCAGTTGCACACTCAAGATTTGTGCATTTTGTCTGACCAATGGGCAGCTTTTTGGGGGACTGTGAGAGTCAGTCTGTGGAACAGTCAGATGTGAGCAGGAACATTGTCACTTCTCTGTGTCCTGTCATCTACTGATGGGGTGATCCACAGGGCATCATTGGATCAACATGCCCAGCCTAAGACTGACCTGCCATGCTTAGTGAAAGATGGTGTTCATGGCACTGAGGACTCCCACTTTGTTGTGAAGGCCCTATGGGTGGCAGTGAGGTTGAATCCTCACAAGAAGCTCCTGCCACTGGCCCCCATGCCTGGCACACTCACCTCCTGGGTTGCATATACTCTTCCACCTCACAATGGTCCTGGCTCCAGTACTGGAGTTGCCTCTGCTCCGATTGATTCATGGTAGAAAGATCATACATACATGATTGCTGGTTATTATTAAGCTAATGACAAGAAAGGGAAGCCAGTTCGACCAGGTGGGTGAGAACATGGCCTCCAGAATTACCCAGGGCTTCAGGGATGCTTCTTCCATCATGGAAGACAACACTAAATTCACAATCAATATATATTAGAACCACAAGAACAGGTGATTATGCAGAGACCCATACCAGGACTCCCCTGAAGACTGGAACTAGGTACAGAGGATCATGGTGACTCCTGTAAACAGCTCCTATGAAATGCTGCTGAATTTACATAGTCACCTGGGTGAAAGGAACCACCCAACAAACTTGCAGGTAAACTAAGCAGTTCTACACGAGTGCTATGCAGGGCTTTACCACCACAGAGAAGAAGAAAACCTGTTTTAGATGGAATATCATGAGCAGCCTGGCAGGAAGCTGCAAGCTAGTGGTGTGTGCCTTGGAAGGGGTGGATTCATTTGGCATCTTCCAAGCAGGGGCTGTGGAGGAGGCACAGGCCACCCAGTCCTTTGGGTTCTTAGTCCTCTGCTGCTCTAATCCTCCACATGAATCTTATTTCTGTTTTTCCAAGGTAGCTCTTATAAAGTACTTTTAGATTACTTTTTTTTTGTCTTTTTGAAGCAGGGTCTCCCTGTAGCCCCAGCTGTCCTGGAACTCACTATGTAGACCAGGCTGGGCTTGAACTCACAGAGATCCGCCTGCTTCTGCCTCCCGAGTACTGGGACTACAGGCATGCGCCACCACGCCTGGCTCAAATTACTTTTGATATAACAAAAATTCTTGTGGGTTTTCTGCTTTGTATATTATACGACAAATAAAACATTAAGAAATAAAAGAAATAAAGAAATAAAGCCGTAAAAGAAACCCACATCTACCCTTTCCTGCCCTCTCTGCTCACTTTTTTTCTCTATTTCTTTTTAACTATGTGCTTGCGTTATGGGAGGTTCTTGAATTCTGACCATAGTAAGAAAGATAGTTGTACACATTTACATTCTTTTCCAAAACCAGTGACATTCATTTTTAAAATAAAATGCAGAAGAGACAGATGTATGTTTGTAAGAAAAAAAAA